TATCTAATAAAGAGAAAATAGTCAACACAATAGGAAAACTGGAAAGAGGGGAGTTAGGGGGCAATCATATGATTTTAGTTTCTTGAAATTGTTATGTCAACACTGAATCATTCATTCGCGTGTAGAGGAGCAAGAGTGAGGGAAAATTTTGGGGAAGAAGGACACAAGAAAATTTTGGGGACAGGCATGAACTTGTGAAAAAATTGTGGCGTTTATAATAATAAACACCACTAAAATATGACTTGTAACTGCATTTTCTAAATAAAATGTGACTAAATATAAATAGTAGCGACATTTTTCACTAAAACACTACTATATTAGTGTTGTCACTAAATTTATATTAACACAATAAATAGCGACGCTTATTAGAAAATACCACTAAAAAAATGCCACCAAATCTCCATTTTCTTGTAATGGAATATTTGTGTATTTGATTTACTAATTACAGTTCAAAATGTATATATTCATCTTTTCCTAAGTCATACTATTTAATTGATGACTTAATTTTCTAATGGCAAATATATGAAAAATATAGATTTTAGAGTCCTCAAGGTCATAATGGTATTATGTCTATGAGTTTTTGGATTTCTTTCATCAATAAAAAGATTAATGTAACAACATTTGAAATTTTCCCTCATGTAGGAACTTCAATCATGGAATAGTCAATACACAAATTTTATGATTAGAATCTTCATGTACATGCAAGAAAAAAAACATTATCAATACTATCTTAAAAATAGTGTAATAATTTCGATGAGTATAATTGTTTAACTTTTTTTTTCCTTTTTGTGTCCCATTCTCTTTCTAGATTCTTTTTAATAAATTATTTTGACATTTTTTCTCCATTTTATGTGATATTAATTGTTGATCCCATGATTTTCCTATTAGTGTTTTATTTTTTTACTATAAAATAAAATAACGGTATTATGGTACTATACATAATCTTATTTGCTAAATAAAAAATGTATTATTATTAAATTATCATATAATATTAATGTTTTATAGAAAAAAAATCCTAGATCTTATAGTTGTTTTTCTTTTACAAATCAAAATAAAAGTAAAACAAATAGGGTGGAAACCCTACTTTTCTTATAATATCTTATTTGAAATGTAATTTCATTCCACTTGCTATAGCAATTAAATTTTAATTTTTTGTTATTATATATGCAAATATAGTAATTAATATACAAGAGAAAAAATTGTTATCAATATATTTCATGTTATTTAACAATTGTTTTTCTAAAATGTAGAGCTTAAGGCAGTCCATCGCCTAACAAGATTTGACATTTGCATTTAATAAGCAACCAATCCTTTAGCAAATTGGCAATATATGTAAATTTTTTTATAATTTCATATTAGAATATTGTTGTGTCAAATGGCTTGCTTTTACATTTTACATTTTCTTCTATATTAAGATAGAGAACTATATTGATTTTAATTGAGATTTTTATTATAGTTGCCAGTTTTCCTATGTAATTATTTGTTAAACCATCAACATCCAAAATTTAAACTCAAGTCTCACAAGCACATATATAATGAATTATGATTATAGATTTTCTTTTCTTTTGAACTTGATTTATTTTATTAATAGGTCATCATGAGCAACAATAAATTTAAATTATTTAAAAAGTACATGTAATCATTTAATAAAATCAATTTTTTCTTTTAATTTTTTCTTATAAAAGTCAAAAGAAAACATTTATATATATATTATATATTTTTTCTATAAATCAAATTTGCTAAAATATTATTGAAAGATATTATTGAAATTACACCAAAATATGTCTACATTACTCTTATAATCCTAACATATAAATTTATTGTTTTCTTAAAAAAAATAAATTAAGTTTAACTAGAATAAACATAAATAACATAAAATTGATGAAGAACTTTGAGTTAATGCAAATTTCAACTTTCTTTTCTTTTACAGTAATATTGTTCAAATATTACATTCATATTAGAAAATCACTAAAATTAAATTAAATTAATAAATCAATTAATATTTATATGAGGTCATAACTAGATAAATCCAATATAAAGTTTGATCAAACTCACATATGATAAGATTTGAACCCTAGATCAGGTTTCAAGACCTCTTTTTCTTACCACTAATTAAGAAAAGATCTCATTGACAAAAGTTTTGTTTTTTAAATAAGTAAATTAGATATATATATATATATGTAAATTTTATATTATTTATTAAAAATACTTATTTGTGTGTATAATTATATATATAATTCATACATCATACAAGTTACAAATTAGTGTAAAATAATTATAATAAATTAATTTAAAATTTTTAAATAAACAAATAAAAAAAAGGAAAACTAAATAAATAACAACAAATGCCAAATCAATCTATAAGTGCAGATATATTGGTCCATGCATTATTAGTTCAAAGGAAAAATGGAAAAAAAGGAAAAACAATGTAAAAGAGTTTGGGCAATATGCAAAAGGAGAAGTGTGATGGAAAAGAAAATGAGTAATGCTTTTTACACCCCACTAATATTAATACCAAATTTTTTACTCAACATACCCTAAATCAAAAGCATAAATTTACCAAAAACCCACACCCAATTTCTTTTCTCTACCAAACCAAAAACCTAAAGGGTTTTAAGTCCCAATTAAGCCAAATTCAAAGAAAATTTCACTCATTTGAAGTTAAAGAGCATAAAATCAAAGGCAAATCATTTGTTTTCTACTTTTTCATTTGATTACATATTTAGTTTCGTAAGATTTCATATTGAAATATTTGGATACGATTCGAAACTTCTGAAAATGAATTTTTGAAAATTTTTAATAATTTCTAAAAATGGATGTCCAAAAGCTTTTAAGAATTTCTAGAAACCTAAGGTTTCTGGAAATAGATATTTGAAAGCTTTTAAAAGTTTCGAAAGTTCTTAAAGATTTCCACACATGCATTTCTAAAAATCTTTAAAAGCTTCTGGAAATAAATTTTAAAGATGGGGTGTGAAAGATAAAAAGGTAATTGATTAATGTGTATTTAAATAATTTCATTATAGGTTAAATTTTTAGGATATATTAAGAAAAAAGTTGGGGTGCAAACAACAGCACTCAAAGAAAATTTTCATTGAAAGGGAATTAACCAATAAAAAATTGAGACTTCGGTATAGTTGAAAACTATTTTTGGCACTTGACTAGTGTGCCAAACAAGATTTCAATCCAGTTAAGAATCTCAGCTGCACCTCACTAATGGTGCAATTAGATCCAAATGGACCCTAAGGTACTAATCGAGAAAAAATGTGATCGAATTGAATTGAAATAAATAAAATACAAATTTAAATTCAACTTAAAATTTATAATTTGAAATTTAATTTGATTCTCAATCAATTTTTTTAAAAATTTTTTCTCGATTTAAGATAAAAATTAAACTATATGAGTTCACTTAATTAAACTTCAAACATGGTCAATTATTATGTTCAATCTCAGACTCAATAACTTATACTTGAGCTTGAGTTTGAATCGAAAGAAGATAAAATTTTTTCTATAAAAATATATAGTGAGAATAAAGGTATAAATAAATAATAATTTTTTTTTTGAATAAACTCTTAAGTTATTTGAGCATTGATATATTCCAATTCAACTTCCTCAATAATTTGAGTTAAAAATAACCAAATCTAATTCCAAAAATTTTCGAGTCAAACTGAGTATCTCATGAATATATGTAAACTCATTTACAGCCTAGATTGAACCAATGCTTATACAATTTCTTTTGGATTTTGAGGACTACACTGTTATGTAGAAGAAACATATTCACCACATCTTCCATTGACGTACTAGTGATGTCGATGCTATCATCACCAAAAATTTAAATAGCAGTCAGATAGTGGTATAGCGACCACTATTTCACCATTGCTATTGAAGAAAAAATGATGAAGAATTTAAATCTCATCTGTAACGAGTATTGCAGCAACAAATTATGGTGTAACGTTGAATAGTAGCAATATTGATCTACTATTGCCCGCTATTCCATTTTTCATTCAAAATTTCAAGAAAAAAAATTTTCATTTGACTTGGTTAAAAACTTAAAATAAAAACAACAAGCCAGAAAATAAACATTTATTCACAAATTCATCAAAAAAAAAAAAAACCCACAAAACTTAAACTTCTAGAGATATCAATTCTCTTAAATTCAACTTTAATTAAGATTAAGCACATGCAGTTTAAGGTAAGCAATTAATTCAGCACTTAAATTATTTTTTTTAATTTTCAAATTTACCATAATTTTATGTGTTTGAGATTGGACTGGGCTATGATGCACTATTCGAAAGGGGCAGAAGTTGCTAAGATTTAAAATGAGAGACAATATATGAGAGTGAGACTTGAGGTTGAGGGAGACGAGCAGATAGTGAGAGTGAGACTTAAGGTTGAGGGAGACGAGCAAATAGCATACATAAGAAAAAAAAGAGAGTTGATAGATGGGGATGAGGATGAAGGTTCGAAGAAAAAAATTATTGAATGCAATGTGAGGGAAGGAGAAATTATGTGGGTCTATGCAATTTAGTCAAGAGGCAGAGGAAGTAGACTTGAGGCTATTGTTGTTGAAGATTACCTTCAGTATGGAGGCTGCCAAGTTTGATTTATTATAAGCCCATAAAAAGTAATTTTCTTGATTAATTTATAGATGTTTAATCACTTGTTAACTGATTTATGCGCAATATAGTTTGATAATAATTTTGATGAATAGTTAATTAAATAATTAAATATATTATTTATTATGATTATTTATTTTTTATATGTTTATTTATCTTTTTTTATTTTATAATATCATATAAGTAATTTTTTAAATATGAATATTTTATTATAAATATTTTTTCTTAAATAAATAAAACATATGACATAATATAAATTTTTTAAAAATCATAAAATAATAATTTTTATAATTAATAATTAAACTTATTATATTTTATAATAAATTAAACAAAATTTAAAAAAATTTACAATCGCAGTAACACCAAAAATTACAAAAATTTCTGTTATATCTAATCTTGATAAATGTGACGTAATCAAAAACTTGACTGGTACCATAATTTAAATCTTTGATCATCACCTTCGGTGGCAAAACCATCCATCTTTGTTAATGCTTCCTTTTGAACATGCTCAGCCTGTCGGCGGTGGGGATAATGAAAAGACGGTGAATTTTCACTTCTACAACCCAGTAGACAAGCAAATGTTTGAATCTTTTGTAGATGGTATTGCCGGAGGAGATCGCCGACGCCCACCTTGCAGGGTCGTCAAATGGGCGACTGGCCTACGTTAACCGCCATGACTGTGAGATATATATGGCGAATTTGTTCTCCCACTCAAATCCTATAGAGATCATCAAACTCCCACCCGTTAAAACCTTGGCTCATATTGGTGGTTGAATTTTACTGTGAGCTTTATTCAACTTCACAACCTCTGTTGGTGCCGAGCTCGATCTAAAAGGTAAAACATGAAATTAGAAGAGATGGAAGATAGACTAAACACAAAGGCCGAATATTTTTCTTGCGTTTGTGTAATTTCACGTTCAAATGATTGCTCCAAAATCAATATGCTCATATGTTGCCAAGTGAGATGAAACACTGACTGAGCTAACGCGAATTATCAGAATGCTCCAAAACATTAATAAGTCATTTTCTTGCAGCAAAAGATAATTATATCCCTCATGACCATAAAATGTTGGCAGAAACTTATTCATTGCTGGTATAGTCCTAAGAGCTTGAGCCATGAAATTGTGTACAAGATTGCAATGTCTTCGTTTCCAAAGGATGATAACTGCATTTTCTTGATTGGAGACAATTCCAGGACCAATTTAAAGCATGACCCTCAAGTTAAAGCTTGAAATTCATAGGTGATCTCTTTTTTTTTTTTTTTTGGGTTTCAAGCATTTGGTTTTCTGTCTCAACTGATGACTAACGCAAAACGTAAACTACACTCCGTTCACTTGGCTGATCATTATGCTGAAAATCATGCCTGCTGATTTTAACTCGCAACACTATCATTACTCTCTTTGAGTTTCTCTTGATGTTTTAACATTTGCAGAGCCACAATTCTCTCAGTGATTCCATTTGTTTGCGTAATGATTTTGACAGATGCATTCATCTTGAAGCTTTGAGTCTAAAATCACTATATTATATATGTAACACCAAAAAATGAAAAGAGACTTAGCATTGGACCAAAACTTTGATGCCAAATATCAGATAAATGTCAGCACAACATTGGAAGTTTCTTCTGAAAAGCTTAAACAGTGTGAGAGATATATACAAATCCAAAATTTTCCATTAAAAGCAAATTCATTATATTTCTCATGATTATGGATGTTTATCTGAAAGAGACACATGCATACTACTATTCAAGAAAAAGAAATGTGCAACCTACACATTTTACTTCACAAATGTTTAAATTTTGACTGATGAGGGAAAGTTTTTCTTTTTAGATGGATCAATCTAGGCTCTGGAATGGTATTCTTTTCAAGCATGACTCATCTTAATAAGCTTGCAAATATTCTTTTCAAGCATTACTTACACACCTGTTCAGAGGGTAATGCCAAATTTAACAATAACAAAATCCCCTTTAATAAGGTTGACATAACACAAATAAACAGCATAATGGCAATGGCACCTGCATTAAGCAGATATACTTATTTTTTGAAGCAAACTATTATTAGTCAGCTTAAAAGAACAAATGCCCTTCCATCTTCCCAAAAAATAACTTGCCCACTTTAAACATTCTCTAGAATACCAGTACAAAACTACCTTTTTGTATAGTTTAGGGCTTTTGGCATGTCTAGCTTTAGTGCAAATATAAGGTTTTTCTCTTCCTTTTCTGTTTTATAAAATCAATATGCATACACATGTTGTGCATGCAAAGAATGACCTAATTTACCTTGCAAAAATACTTCAAATGGTACAGAGATGTATTAAATCATGCAGCTGCAAACTGTTTGTCTTCCTGATCTTCAAGATTTAAAGCTCGAAGCAGCTTTGGCCAGGATTCTGGGATTCCTCCAGGAAGATCAAATTCTAACAACTTCCCATGACTACGATAGAAATCCTTTACAGGTTGAGTCTGTATGAACAATAAAATTGCAATGCACCAGTTAATAAAGTGAATAAATTTTCCCCCAGTGATTACAATGCCAAGATCACAGGGTTATGGACCAAAAGGTTGAGAGCATCAAACCTAAATAGCAATATGGCATATTTGGTGGCTAGATTATATCTTGTAATTTGGAAACATACAGATTACACCCAAAAATTCCCTGCAACAGTTAATTAAATTCTCAGGAATGCAATTGAGAAAAATATATGGGAATGTGAGAAATACGATCTCATGGTATATGCGGAGCCGTTCCTTAACAACTTCTTCAATATCATCAGCTCGAGTAAAAAGCTTGGATGCACATTGAGGAGGAGGAGGAAGAGGAGCCATGTACATTCCAGGCCTCCCATTCTCAGCCTTGATATCAATACAAGCAACATTGTAGTTTCCTCCACACTCACTACAAATCCTTCTTCCAAGGCATTTTGCAAGGAATGCTTCTTTCCTAAGCTTCAGGTTAACCACTAAGTCAATGTCTGTCACTTCCTCTAATATTTCCTGGAAAATAAGCATAAAAAAATAGCAGACTACAAGGTTAGAGATTTTACAAAGACTTAAATTACTAATAATTGCTAATTGCGCTAAGTGAGAAGCAAAAATATTCTGATAAAGACATTACTCAATAATATCATCATGACTCTCGAAGTCATGTGCAGTAGCAATGCCAAACCAAATACAAGTAGTGGGGTCCTGAGCTAATCCTTGACTAAACCTTGGAAATCATGTTGCCATAATGCTTTTCAAATCCTCCTAGCCATTATCCTACCGCAACAATTCTTGCTAAGAAGAATGCCCATGTTGTGGCAATTCCACTTTTGATGAAACAAAAGTTGCTAATAATATAACAACTTCAACCATATGAAATCACCATTTATGAATATTTTTCAGTTGTATCGTTATAAAATGCTATTCTTAAGAGTGTAAACAAATAAAAAAGTTTAGAAAAGTTTCCACTGCTTTACCATCCAACTTAGTGGCAATTCTATTAATCATTGAAAAGATAGGTAGAAGTTGCAGTCCAAGTTGCATGCGTGAGTAAATTACCAAGAAACTGTCAGAAGCTTTATATCATACACTATGACTGGTTATGTATGCTTCTAGCAAATCCTTCAACACATAGCTAATGCAAAGGAATCAATTCAATATCCAAGGCATAGGTTTGCTTACCTATTCTTTTACCACTGGCTTTCCTAAAATTCATGTCCTTGTAAGTTAAATCAAGTTAACCTTTAGTTGGAACCTAAGATATTTCAGCAAATAATCAAATGAAGCACTTACTGCCTGTCTTATTGTTCGAGGAAAACCATCAAGAATGAACCCAGATTCACCCCTAGGTTCTCCTGCTTCAAGAGGTTTGGACAGTAGATCAATTATGATTTCATCTAAAACTAATTTACCCTGGCTAACAATCTCCTTTAACTGCCAAGTGTAAATATAATAGTAAGAAACAAGTAAATTGGAGGGAAAAAAAAACGACACTCAAAACAAACCACTGATGATGTTTCAACTCCAATGTGTTTCACCAAACCACACAAATATTATGATTTTCAAATTGTCCGATGAAAAAAAAAAAAACAACTAGTTAAAGCTAAAACCAGCACAAAATTACAGGTTATAACTTGTAACATTCATTTGCACTTTCTTTATGAATTTACTAAAGATCCATTCACTTATTGCTCTTACTACTTACTTTTTTTTAAGTTGCTAATAAAAAGAAAAACCACATGGATTAAAAATGAAAAAAAAAATCAAGTTAAAATGCAACATACATTCAGATATTTCCAAATTTAAAAAAAAAAAAGAAAAAAGTATGCATTCTTTTATTCACAAAATCAAAACTTTTCATTTTAATCATTCAAAAAAGTATTCTCCATTTTTATTAAATTGAATGTGATAGAACTTGATTTCTTTTGACTTGAATAAACTTGTTGAATACTTAAGTATTGATGCTACTCAAAAGATGAAGACATTAAACACAAACAACACTTCAAACTATGTGCATTATACATTTATTTATCATTAACTAGATTTGTGAATAGCTAGAAATATTATTAAATTAAGTAACTTATAGTTGAATATCTAACATTCCCCTTAAACTTGAATTGAACATATAAATAACTAATCCCAAATCACTTGTAGAGTTTCAACATCAATTTGGTCAATTCTATGATAATTCCTTTCTGTGTAGAAACACCTTCAGTTCGGTTCTCTCCAATTGCTCCAATTTTTTTTTTTTCAAAAATTGGTATGCTTTCTCTATGAAGCATATACATCCTTGTTACACAACAATTTTTGAGAAAAAATGAAGCAAAGGTGTTATTCCATCTCACAAGCTCACAATACTTAAAATATCAGGTGCAGTTTGTAATCTATCATATGGTCACGTTTGGTGCATAGGATGATAAATAGGATAAGATGATAATCATTTTCTCTTATGTTTGGTTTGTATCTAAAGAAAGGATTATAATTACAAAAAGGATTAATCATCATCCTGGTATAAGATGATTCAATCCTCCCAAAGTAGAGAAGATTATTTTTAATCTATGGGATTGAACTTACATATGCTATTATACCCTTAAAAATTACATCAATAATTTAAATTATATAAACTTTGAGGAAGGATAATTTTGACCAATAAATAAATTATCCTATCATAATGCTTGCGCACATCAAACACGAGATGGCATTATTTAATCTAGTCTTATTCATAATATCATCTTATCCTATCCTATCATAATCTTGTCTATCAAACACATTCTATATGTATTGTCTGATAATGCTATATGTATTGATCACTCTTAAACTGGATCTCCAAACTTAATGATTATGGCGTTGTCACACTAACTCTTAGCATTCTATTTGCCATATCTTCTCTCCTTTCATATCCCAAGTGTAGAGATATCCTATGACTATTTTACTTACATCCCAAAAGGAGCCTTAAATTTTCCAAACAATTTTTTTTTTTTTTACTTACTCATTAACAGTAGTAAATCAAAATATTTAACTAATTGGTGAAAAATATCTTCTCTTCAAAATGCATTCAGTTAAAAAAATATTTATCTAAAAACGGTCAAAAGAATCAAATTTTAAATTAAAAAAAAAATGAAAAGCAAAACACTAACAAAAAAGTTTAGACCTGCGAAGAAAGGGGACCAGAAGAAGCAAGTTCATCACGGACAAGATCACCGGTGGCGATGTGAGGAACACCGAGAAGATTCGACAACCGCGAAGCGTAGGTGCCTTTGCCGACGCCGGGAAACCCTAAAAATACCCACTGGACATTTCTACCCTTCGGTTCTCTCTTCAAAATCCCCAACACGGCCGGTTTATTATGATTGAGGTCAGTTTCGGAATTTAACGTCGAAGAAGAATACAAAGAAGAAGAGAGAGCTCGAATTACGTAAGCGAATGTATCATTGGCGGTTGGTGTCGGCGTTGTCGCCACCAAAGCAGCTCTGGAGCAACGGCCAAAAACCGTCATGGGAAAAGGATAGGGAAAGGGATTGTTTGGCTATGAGGAAAAAGCAAAGAAAGTAGCTCTTTTTTGTTTTCCTGGAAGTGAGGAAACGTGGAGAATGTGTGAGAGTTTGACGTTTTAAAATTGACACGAGGGAGTTTTTTTTTTAATTAATTAAAATAAATAAATAAATCTAAGGGCTTGATATTTTTTATGTAAATCTGCCAGCTAGATTTTTTTAAAGATTTTGCTTGGCAGTTCATTCCAAATGATATGCTATGGTCCCCATGTTGGCAGCTCATGCTTTTTATTATTATTATTATTATTATTATTATTATTATTACTAAACAAACGTCTGATTATATTTATTAATATCAGTTAAAATCAGTAATAATTTTTTTATAAAAAAATCATGATTAAAAAAATATTACGAATGATAAAATTTGAACTCTAAATATCAATCACAAATTAACTCATTTGCTTTTAATTTTAACGTAAATGATTTTGATTTAAATTTCTATCAATGAACTTTACTAGTAACTCATTTTTTTTTATTAATCAATAAAAAAATACTAATTCTCAACATTTTTGTCTTAATTTGAAATCCTGAGCAATCATTTTACAAACATCACCTACCCTAAAAGCAAATAAAAGGAAAAATTTTTTTATTTGGAGAATTAGAAATTAATTTAGCTTTTGTCTTGGCTTGGATTGATTTTTTTTTTTTTTGTTGGATTCTTTTTAATAAAATTTTGTCAACTAACTCTTTTGTCGATTAGATAAATAGTATATCTCTCATTGATATTTAATTTTTCTAAATGCAAATCCAAATTTTTTTACCGTTTGCATGTAAATTGAGTAATTGATAATGGTGGTCGTCTACACATAAGTTTTTTTATTTACCGATAAAAGATTTTTAAATTTCAATTAATATAATGCTTTCTTAGTCTATCCAAATAAATCTATTTATGCAGAGAATTCATAAAAAAATTACATTTTCATAATTTTCTAACAAACTCAAACAACAAAAGAAAGAATACACTTTCTCTGTCACTTAAAGCAACTGTCAAATAAATATGAGTAGTGTCTTGTGCTTTATATAAATAAATATATATATATATATATTTGTCAATTCTTTTATATACTCTCTTTTATTATATACTCTTTTTATGGTTGAGAATTCATTAAAAACATATATAGAAAGAAATTTTGAATTAAGACTTAACTTAATTTATGTAACTTTACCTTAAAATATAATATTCAATAAATTTAAAATTTAAATTTTATCGTCGACACTCTTTTTTACTACCACAAGACTACAACTTTTGTCATAGATAAATATATATATATATATAAAGAGAGAAAAAGATATTTTTTGTATCACAACTAAAAATATAAATAATACATTAATACTCACAAGCTACTAAGATTCAATTCGAATAAAACTTAAATTCGATTCGATTATTATCGAATCGAATTCGAGCTTGAATCGTTCAACTCATCGATCGAATCGAATTCGAATATTATATTACTCACTCGAATAACTCATGAACTTAATCGAATTTTTATATTTAAATTTTTTTATTATTTTAATTAATAAAATATCTCGAATTCGAGCTCGAACTCAAACACAAATAATTAAACTCTTGTCGAGTATAAGAATCAAACTTATTTTTACATATTTTTAAGCTTAATCGAACAAATTCGAGTAACTCGAATTCAATCACGAATCGAACTCAAACTAAAAAAATAAAACTCGATCGAATTCGAACCGAATATCGAACCGCGAGTTGAGAGTTTAGTTCAAACTCAAACTTCTCACTGTATCAACTCGACTCGATTCGATTACACACCTAATCAAAACACAAACATTTTAAAGCGAGAAGATGAAAAAAAAAAAAAAACCCAAATTCAAATCTCTCTTTTGTCTTTAATCTAATAAAAAAAAAAATACTTGATCCTTTAAAAAAATTGTCCTACCCTATTAGAGATAGTTCAATTATTGAAATTAATTTATTAATAATGTTTAAACCACAAGTTATTAAAGTATCCAAGTCTACACATATCAGGCAAAAAAATTGTTGTAAATAATATATTAACTAACCATAAAGAATGTACAACCAAAACCCAAAAAGGAAAACAAAACTTCAACAATCAGATTCATCAAATATTAACAGCCATAGAATTTTCAGCCTGAAAACCAATAACTTGATCTAAGCATCCACTGAAAACCTCAAAACACTGAAAGGTCTACGATAAACAAGTAACTGATTAAAAGACCAAAATGGATCCAAAAGAAAATAAGTGACAGAGAGGAAAGAAAGATCAAAAGAGAACACTAAATCACATCACAATTATATATAAAAACTGACACAATAACTTCACTACCCTCCTTTTATGGTTAAGACAACCTTGGATTGGTGAAATCTTGAAAATACACACTAAGCTACTAGTGCAGTTGCAACAGATGCCATTCAGCTACATGTGATCGACCCGGCTGTCATCCTCACTTATTCCATCCCCAGCATGCCTGCTACCAAATTAAGCAGATGTGACTTTAGATGTTTCCTGGCTAAAGCATACATTGATCATATATTTCTATTATTGTCTGACTAATGACAATAGCATGGTGACTTGTTTTATAAAATTTAATATAACATTATTTGTAACAACCTTATTTGAATTTATCCAAAAGATGAATAACGTTATGTAACAGCAATGTTTAACAGATGCATCCATCTTATTGCTAGCACCAGTAAATGAAAGGCAATGCGCTCGTCTTCATGCTAAATATCTCAGCAAATGAAAGTGTCATCTAAAAGCTTAAATGGTCTTACAGACACAAATCGGGAATTCCATGAAATGCTGCAAATTCACACTTTCTCATGATTATGGATGCTGAAGAGACACAAGGATGCCATAAAATTTTGTGACTACTGGATGATAAAGTGGTCATTACTATGGAAGAAAAAGAAATGTGCTGGATGCATTGTTACAAATGATGCAAATTAGCCCTCCACCAGTGTTAAAAAGAACAATGCCATTAGAAGGAGACTTTATTTTTTTGGGTTCAAGGGAGGGCATAGCCCTTACAAGGGGGAAAGGGAAAGCAGATCCTGGCTCGAAACCAGGACCTCTATGTCCTTATAAAGCCTTCTTAGCCACTAGACCAAGAGGCGGGGGACAGAAGGAGACTATTTTTAACATTAAAAAGCATACTTATTCAACCAACTCCCAAATTGAATTTTTCCTAGTGAATATTGAACCATGAGGCAAATTTTCATTTTAGCAGGATTGAGAAACAAACCGCCAAGAAGTAGTTAGATTCCTGGCCTTTCTGTCCAACTGAAGATTTTCCAGGGCAGCTGAAGCTCGAATCACATCTTCTGGTAGATCATCATCATATCTCCAACTGTACTCGGCTTTCCTGTAACCAGACATGGAGGACCCTGCTCTCCTATCTAATTCCCCAAAGGTATCAGGTAATGGAAACAGCAATCAAGTAGATATGCATGTATGTTAAAACAATACAAAAGAATCACTTACCAGATGAGTGAGAAGCAGGACCCGGCCTGTCATATCAAATGCAAAACTGGTCAGCTTTTAGCAGCATTAGGAAGGAAAAAGGGTAACGCTAAAGATGAAGAAATCATAACTACAGGAGGTGACATTAGTCAAGCACCTTCCTAAAGGGGGCAAGCCCCCAGCAACAGTTGATGATGAGGGTCTTCTTGTGTTCCGAGACTCTAAACTAGATGAGGATTCAATTTCTTGTGGTCTCCTTCCAATTCCCCTTGCATGGGATAAGTTCTGAGAAAATATGATCGGAAACAGTGAGCACTATTATTGACACATAAAAATTATTTTAAAAATGAAAAGTTGTCATTGTGATAAATAACAAACACAAACCCAAGAATTTGATGATATTAATCACATTTCATCTTCTGTGCATGTCAAACAACCTCGTATAACAAAAGCAGAACGTAAATTCATATATAAGAAGAAAATGACTAGTTCCTAGCAAAGCCTCATACCCCTCAAATCCCAACTGCTAGGATAAGCCTCATACTTTTACGATTTAATATCAATCTTAGCTTCATACATTCAAGTCCTATAATTTCCTTCTCACTCAAGCCAACCAGGATCTCCTTTGAACATGATGAAGCCTAGTCTTTCACCTTATTGTACTCATCACACTCAAATCACCAGCATTGACATATTTTTCTTGCTACATTACATATCAAAGATCATGTTCTGTACTGAAGAAATACAACATTTGTTCCCCTAAAATCCTGCTCTTTTGACAGTTCCCAAGGCTTTTTCTTACCTAAGAAGCCTTCCATAGAGCCCATTTAGGAGTTTGACCAGCATAAAGAAACACACAAATTGCATCAACAAATTTAACATTTATGATTATTTATTTTTGTTTTATTTTGTCACAAATATCAATAAAAGGAAAGAAGAATGCTTGATTTCTCTTAGCATATTTAGTAGTTTGCTTTAATATTTTAAACCATCCTCATTTTAGCCAGATGAAGATTGATTGCAAGCATGCGTTACAAATATGTTTTACGAACTTCTACAGTAACATTTTCAGATATAAGACAGAGCTGCCAATTTCCTTTTTTTTTTTTTTAATTACAGAACTGTTATTGAAACAAAATTCAAAACCTGTTTCTGCACCCCATTTGCAGTAAAGTCCATTCTTCTCCAAAAACAAATATGTTTTATGAACTTTTACCGTACCATTTTCAAACATAACACAGACCTGCCAATTTCTTTTTTTTTTTTTAATACGGAACTGTTATTGAAACAAAATTCAAAACCGGTTTCTGCACCCCATTTTCAGCAAAGTCCATTCTTCTCCAACAATGTTCAACATCAACCCATTTAGGTCACTCCAGGATACTCAGACACTGACAGATAATTCATCATCTTACATCAGGCATCTTAATAAGACATTAAACCAGAGAAGAAACTAGGTGATACGACAAGAATCAAATAATATTGCAAGCTAAAGCTTAGCCGAAATGAATTATCGTCATTCCCAATCCATTATGTAAGATTCCAAATAACACTTATCGCTGCTAAAAAGCAAACAAAAGAACATATGAGCTTCAGATGACAGAAACACTAATGATTTCCTGTATAGTATGAGAACAAATACAACAGAGATTAACTAACCTCAAACTTCAAAAAGCCTTCAAGAACGTCCAAAAGCAAAGGTCCACTGTCCCCATTTCTGTTAAGATCATAACCATTTTTGCCACTAAAGTCTTTCAACTCAGCTTTCCAAGAATCTTTTTGCTACGATGTAAAAGAAGAACAAATATACAATGATTCATATGTAAGTGTTCAAAGAAATAAAACCGATAAAAAGATCAACTATTAAAGCACTGATCAGAAACTATAATAAATTGAAAATTACTTGATTACCAAATTACATTCGGGCAGATAAACTTTTAGTGTGTGGTTGAGTTGCGCCCAGTCTAAGTACTCACATATCAGGGCAGTTAATAGTCTTCCTGCGTTTGGAAATTCAAGGTGCACATTATAAAGAGATCAGGAGAGGGAGATGTAGAGAAGATATTGAAGACATAACAAATGCAACATGAACATAAATTCACAATTTAGATATGAACTATTTAAAGACTACACCAATGGAACAACAATGACAAAGCAAATTGTATACAGATTCTAAAGATTACTAATGCAACAATAAAAAAGGAAAAAATTACAATTAATTGATATCTGAAGGTGCATGGGAATCAGTATCAAAACAATCTTGGACTTGTTAGTTGTTAAACACCATTAGAAGATCAAATGATAGCCCCCAAGAAGTAAGTTTCACAAGCCAAATAAAGGTGGGGAGCACTCCTGTACTGAGGAAGGAAAAAGAAAAAGGAAAACCAGATACTAGCTTATTTTTTTGAAATAAAAGGAGAGCCAGCAGAAAAAGCAGGCTACTTTATAACTTCAACTAACAATATAAAACAAGGCTCAAATTAATAGACTGACCAGAAGAAGAAGCATGAAGTTGTTTAGCACGATCATTGCAGCTTCCCAATAATGCAGGAGGTAAACCTTCTTCATTTTCGATCACTCGATCCTCCTCTTCTATTGCTTCAAAGACACTTGCCCTGAGTTCAGCCTAGTAATAAACCCAAAATAAAAATGTTAAAACAGAAGTAATTCAAGTGCCTCACATTGCAAATTGAAATACCAACTATAAACATTAAAAAAAGGCTTTACTAGTTTGAACACTTCACAAACATATTAGCACTAATAATCTACATCTCAAACAGGTAATAACTCCACAAAATACATAACATAATCAGAACTTGTTATGCCCCTTGCCTCCCCCCCCCCCCTCCACCCACCCTCTTTTCTTTCTTCCCCATGTCTGGGAATCCTAAATAGAGGCAGGCAAGAAAAAATACATTCGGATACTTGTGTTCTAAATTCAAGGAGAGAATTCACCACTCATCATTAACTAGGCTCAACATTTTTGAAAAATCACGATACAACTTTCTCTTCTATTTCCTTGTTGCAGATTTCCAAAAGAAAATTGTAAATATTAAATAGTAGATACTCCTCATCTAGCAAACTGCTCCTATTTCAATCACTCAAAATGAGTTAATCCTTTCGTTGGCAACTACCAACTAAATGGAGCACTAATCCCAATTTTTCTTTCCCTTCCCAAATCCACTACTTCTTTAGGATCCAATAAATCCCCAGACAGAAGGCCACAGCAAGGTTAGAAGTTTTCTACCTTACAATTCAAAAGTATTATCAGTAAATTTCCTTAATTGAAATGCAGAACAACAAAATCCACTAAATCCCCAGACACGGGTTTCCAATTTACAGTTCAACAAAATTAACAGCAAATTTCCAGCATCTCACTCCAGACCAATAAGAAAAATTCAAAATTTCCAGTATATCACATTAAAAAATACTACTTGCTAAATTTCCACCTCGATACTTAAACAAGAAAAGAAAAACTTAACATTTCCAATTTAGCTAATTTTCCTAAGAAAAAAAATTTCACACTTAAATGCGTTAAAAACGTGGAATTTTAACTTCTCGGTCCCAAATTAACACTTAAAGATCTAAAAAACCAATTCACTCCTTCAATTATTACTAAAATTAAAAACTTTTTAAAATTAAAATCATTAAGAATATTCAAAAAAAATCTTAGGTTTCTAGCCTTAACACGAGATCCAAAGCCAAAAAGAAATCTCTTTACTCAACTATAACTTAACTGAGCCAAATTCTTCAACCACATTTCTCTATTTCTTTCACGTTCTAGAGAACCAAACATGAAATTCCAAAAAAAAAAAAAATTGAAACTAAAGTTGAAAAGTTTATTCTTACCCGGATCTTAGCTAGAACCCCTTTCTTCTCTAGGGTTCGTGTAACTAGGGTTTTCAAATCCATCATCTCTCTCGTGTAATCATCCATTGTTTTGTTTATTTCCCTAGAGAATTTTTTAAGGGAAAAAATTTTTCTTTTTCTTGTTTTTGTGTAAAAGAAATGAGAAGTTGCTTGCAGCCGGAGATGGGAGCAGCAAATTATAGTAAAAAAATTCAGGTTACTGTGGGATCCACTGGAAGGTGAAGTGTGATCTTGGCCGTTTATTTGCTTGATCTGGTCCTTTGAGATGATGATCTACCGTTATACAGTGTGATCTTGACAGTTCATTTTCTTGATCTAGTTCTTTCGATAGTGGATCCCACGAACCCACAGTTTGGGAAATTTTCTTTTTCCAAATATTTTGCCATGATGCTTATTCGAACTAACTGTTATTTTTTTGAGTTTATATTTAAGATAAATTATTTGATATACTGATCATGAATTTTTAAATTTTATAAATGAGAATAAGCTGATAACATATGTTTTATTTTCTAATTAATTTTTTTATTTTTTAAATATACATTTTAGATTTTTTAAAATCATTTAATGTTAAATTGTTAATCATAAAAATTTCGATCATGTTTAATGTATAAAACGATATATAAAATAAAATAATAATCATTATATATTATGTTTAGTATATAAGAGAAATTTTAAGTAGATGTGAATATTCGAAAAGCCTTTAATTTTCTCAAAAATAAATTTTCAATAAGCTTGATTTCACTTTTAATCACTACAAAACTTTAATCATACATTTATAAATCTATTTACTAGATTATTTGTACAAATAAAACTAAATTCGATGTTATTAACATGCATGGCATAAACTTTTTTTTTTCTCGAGACTCCAAAAAATTGATACCATTACTTTTTAATTTTATTGATTTTGTATAGACAAATAAGGTTATTGATTTTTTTGTCTCAATATAAGAACATATTTATACCTATGTATGCTTGAAAATTAATATATTTCTTCAATTTGTACTCATAATTAAGTAAGAATAAACACATTGATGACTTATTTATGTGCATGTATGTTAATCTGAGCTCGAAAACCTTATAGAACGTTGACTTTGATAATATTATCAATATTGGTAAATTTAATAATAAAAATTTTTAATTTTTCGATCACTAATCTTTATTGTTGAATTTGTTAGTGTATTGAATACATTGTCAGTGGCAAATTCGATTTTTTTATGTCAAATATTGATAAAGAGATTAATTTATTTTAATATTATTTATTTTAAGATTAAATATATTTATTCTATTTAAATTACTTATTTTAAGAAATACGATTTTTGATAATCTATTTTTAAGAATGTATTAGGATTCTTGAAAATAAAATTTTGAGAATTATATTATGTTTTTTAAAAATTTATTTTTAAGAAAAATTTTTTTGAAATGAATTGTCTAAAAAATAATTTAAATTTCATAAATCTATTTTAGAGATAAAAGAAGGTGGTTTTTTTGTGTATAAGTTATTGAAGATATTTTTATCTTTTGTTAAAGGTTTAAATTGATATTTGTTATGTAGGTGTTTTTGAAAAAAAAAAATTGAAGATATATGGAGAAAATTTTATAGTGTTTTAACAGTAAAAAAAGAATTAAATCCAAATTATGCCTTTTATAGATTCTTCTATAGATTTGATTCTCCCTCCAATTTTAAACTGGACAAACTCAATTCCTTCCTATTAAAATCCCTTACCATTTAATTGAAAAAAAAAAAAAAAACCCCTCACCATTTCCTTCCAATTCCAAACCCTAAACCTGCCCTTTTCATTTCTTTTCCCTCCAATGGTACCCTTGGATCCCCACTCCTTCACCGACTCAACCCACCCTTTAACCACCCACATCTCCCTATCCCTCTACTTCGACTTCCCTTCCTCCACCATCCACGGTGCCGCTCTCTTCACCCTCTCCTCCCCTCACTCCGGCCCACTTTCCCTCGACACTCGCTCCCTCTCCATCCACCAAATCCTTTCCCCTTCCACCCTTTCCCCTCTCCCATTCTCCCTTTCCCCCTCCCCTGACCCAATCAAAGGAATCCACCTTTCCCTTTCCCTCCCAAACGACAACACCCTCTCTTCTTTCCTCATCACTTTCTCCACTTCCCCTTCCTCTTCCGCCCTCCAATGGCTCTCTCCCCCTCAAACGTTTAACAAAAAACACCCTTTCGTTTACACTCAATGCCAATCCATTCACGCGCGCTCTATTTTCCCATGCCAAGACACCCCCGCCGCCCGAATCCGTTACTCTGCTTTACTCAACGTGCCTCGAGAATTGTCCGCCATTATGTCCGCCCGCCACGTGGACAGGCGGTTACCTGTTTCCGGTGAAGGGTATTCCAATTTGTTACCTAATGGGTTTAATTCTTTATGGTGTTCTGAAACGAGGGTAGTCGAGGATTTTGACATGAACCAGCCGATTCCGCCTTATTTGTTTGCATTTGCGGTTGGGGAGTTAGGGTTTAGGGAAGTGGGGCCGAGGACTAGGGTTTATTCGGAGGCAGTGGAGGGTGTTTTGGAGGCTGCGGCTAAGGAGTTTGCAGGGACGGAGGAGATGATAAGGCAAGGGGAGAAGTTGTTCGGGGATTATGAATGGGAGAGGTTTGATTTGCTTGTTTTGCCACCGAGTTTTCCTTTTGGTGGAATGGAGAATCCGAGGATGGTGTTTTTGACCCCAACTGTGATTAAAGGGGATGCCAGTGGGGCGCAGGTGGTGGCACATGAGCTCGCGCATAGTTGGACGGGGAACTTAATTACTAACAAGAACAATGAGCATTTTTGGTTGAATGAGGTTATATTGTTGTTTTTTGTTTGTTGGTGTTTGATTTATTTGTTTAACTTTGAAATGTTGTTTTTGTGCTGATCCGAAGCTTTGAATGATGTGATTGAAGGTTGAAACTATAAAAAGGACCTCTTGTTAGCGAGACTTTGTTGTTGTTGCTATTAGAAAATGGAAAAACTGATGAATTGGTTGATTGTTTTGTCTTTTTCTTTATATTTTAACACACCCCATCCTATTTACAAACTGAAAAGTTTGTAGATGGGTAATGTTTTTGTTATTTTTTAATTTTTCATTCCTTTGATATATTGCATATATCTGCATGCTGTAAAGAATGATATGTGTTTCATTGATCAAGAGAATGGTTTATGGTTCATTAAGTAGAGATTGTTCTTGTCTGTGATATATTTTGATCTTTTCAAATTGGGTAAATTTGATTTCAACTTGTTTTTCTTTGTGGTTATAGGGGTTTACAACATATGCAGAGAGGAGAATTGTTGAGGCTGTGCAGGGTGAAGACAGAGCTGTATTAAATATTGGGATTGGTTGGAGGGGCTTAAATGAGGAAATGGAGAGATTTAAGGACAACCTGGAATTCACAAAGCTCAAAACCAATCAAGAAGGAGTTGATCCAGATGATGTTTATTCTGAAGTTCCTTATGAGAAAGGTTTTCAGTTCCTATGGCGCATTGAACGTCAGGTATGTTGAACGTTTTTTCTTTAAAGTTTTCATGTTATTTGTAAATGATATTAGTACATCATTATGTGTTTTTTTTTCCTGGAAGCTTAGATTGGAAGACCAGCCTTTGATGAATTTATCAAGAAATATATTGTCACCTTCAAGTTCAAATCAATTGACACTGAGACATTTCTTGATTTCCTGAAAGCAAATATCCCTGGAATAGAGAAAGAGATAGACCTTGTGTTGTGGACTGAGGGGACTGGTATTCCTCCAGATGCATATGAACCAATATCCAATCTATACACCAAAATTGTATCATTGGCAAATGAATTCAAACTTGGGAGGATGCCCAGGGAGGATGAAGTTGCTGATTGGCATGGGCAGGAATGGGAGCTTTACTTAGAGAACCTGCCTAAAGTTGTAGAGGCTTCCCAGGTAGTGTTGGTTCTCTCTTAAAGCTTCCCTTTTTCTGCTAACTGAGATTACTTGATTTTATAATGCTTTCTTGAACTTCCAGTTTTAAGATATGCTATTTCTACCTTCCTTAGACCCATACATATAAAGATAAAGTCGTAATGAGTGTGGTTGCAATGAAACTGCTATGCTAAATGTGTAGCATGGGCTTAAAAGGAAAATTAGATTAAGAAGGGAAAAGGTGCGGGCTGTAGTTATTGAGGACCAAATAAGAAAAAACATGTTTAAAGTGGTTGGACATGCAAGGAGAACACTAACAATTGCTTCCATGGTGATCTTAAGGAGGATACCAAGTCAAGAGGGGGGAAAATAGAAAGAACCTGACTGAAAAACTATGTAGAAGGAACTGTTATTTTTTTAGCTCAACGAGGATATGGTTTGAGAAGGGCTAAGTAGCACATCATGATTGATTTTAGCCAAACCATTGTAGTAGGAAGAGACTTTATTTGTTGTATATCAGATAGCTTGTCCTCAAGCATTTACACATATGTTCAAAATGTTACCAAGTTCTCTTGTCCTTTTTATTTTAATTAATCAATGATTGAAAATGTGCGAGGAATTTAAAATATTTTAGTTGATTTTCTTTTTTCTGAAACTGGATTTCTTAGCTTAAGAATGACGCACCCTATGATGGTTAACATATATTGATGTCAATTAGCTGCCCACAGAAACTTTCTCAGTTGCTTAGTTTCTTTGGCTGCATCCAGGGAATCTTTTCCTTTTGCAGAGGATGAATTTGCTTATGTTGCAAGAATATAAAGCTTTAAAATTTTTGGATGTGACCTACACCTTATTTTCCCTGGTAAATTCTAGGTTGTACTTAAAGATGAGACTTCTCTGCTCACCTTTAGATTTTTTGAGATGCTTGAACCCTGTATCTGGTGCTGGATACCACTAGGTAGCTAGGAAAGCTATTAAATTGTCTTTATGCTTCTAAATATCTTTTGGGTTGTCGAGCTAAGAGACATTTCTAATGTATCTTGTAAGACTGACACCATAAGAATTTAATATCTTTTCTTTTTCTTGTTTTATGGTGTCGGGTTTGTGGTTGGGTTTCACTTTAACTCATATGTAGAGCTCTTCCTTTGATACAAATTTCGTAGTTGAAAACTTCAAATCATTGTATTCTCATCTCTTCTCACTTGTTTGTTTATGATACTGTTTTTTGTATTATGCAGGTCTTAGCCTTGGATGCACGCTACAGGCTATCAGAATCAAAGGATTATGAGGTAAAAGTGGCTTTTCTTCAACTAGCCATTTTATCCAAGTGCAAAAATTTCTATGGCGAGGTGGAGAATACATTGAAGGAAGTTGGGAGGATGAAGTACCTTCGTCCACTTTATACTGCTCTAGTACAAGGTACCGAAAATGAGGAAGAGAAGATTTTGGCCAAAAGGGTGTTTGCAGAGGCTCGTGAGTGTTATCACCCCATAGCTCAAGGAGTTGTTGAGTCAATCTTTGCCAAGCACCTGTAGAATGGTACGCAACACTATGTAATAAATACTACATCAGAATCTGACCTGAAGATGATTAGGCCTATAACGCCTACTGATTTTGTTGATAGATGCTTCTTGCTTGGCTGATATGGCTATTTAGATAATGCATACTGTTTATCTTATGCTTATAGTTTTCTTTAACACCCGTCGAATGTTGATTTTGTTCTGATTCTATTCCACATAACTAATCCAAAGATTGAAGGGAATCTGAAACTTTTTGACTTTACTTCATCCTCTGTGTCTGCTCTCTTTGCCAAGCCGGTGTGCTTTTTGTACTTCTACATTTTTCAACTTCTTCAAACACTTTGGATGGCAAAGATTGAAATGATGACAGAAAACTACTTCAATTTTACCCTTATGATGTTTTTTCATTTGTGCCTTGTAATTATAAGTTTAATTTTATTTTGTTTTTTTGTTTTTACATTTTGGATTTTTATTTAACAATATTGAAACAATTTTGTTAACTTAATATAATAAAAATTAAATTAATATTTGGCCAAAAAAATAAATTAATAAATATTATAAATAACATTAACATATACATATAAAAATAATTATTCAATAATTTTGGAGTAAAATTTTTAATGATATTTTATTTTATTATTAATTTTAATTTTATTATTATAGTAATTAATTTCACTTATATCATTATTTTTAATCTCGTTCAAACGAATTTTACTATCTTTCTAACGCACTCTGAGTTGGATTGAGTACCGTGAGATGAGATATGAATTTTATGCTCTGCACTGTAAGAGAATTAAAAAAAAAAAAATGGAAAATACGAGCGCTAAAAATGCAGTGTTCTTATCTTTCATGTAACTGTCATACCAGCGACACTAAATTCATCTTAATTGACTATTTTACATAAAAAAAAAAAAAAAAAAAAAGAAGCTAATAACTGCTCTTGTCAAAGGTTTTTTAAACACTCACATTTAGGTTTATCAAATTCTAAAAAATAATCAATGAAATTTTATTTATTTATTTTTTTAAATAAAGGACAGTAATATTTCTTTTTTCTTTACTTTTTTTTTTTGCAGTTAATAATTTAAGAAATACAAAAAAATATGCGTCAAAATCTAATCTCAAAAGCTTTTAAACTTATGCAAAATAATTATTAATTTTAAGATCAACAACTTTAATTTTTTAAATAATTCTCTTCGTTCCTATTTTCTTAGCGAAAGTTGTTTTTTCCCCTAAAATTGAAGCTAAAAATTTTTTTGTAATAAAAATGAATTAACATACCTTTAAAACCTTTTGCAAGGACAAACCACCATTTACGAAATTTTTATGTCCTCGGTAAAAGGGTTTTTCTCTATGAAAAATAATTTATACGTAACAGCTTTTTCTCTTTACAACCAAAAAATTAATTTTTTATAACAAAATTACTTTTAAGTGAATTACCTAATTATCTCTATTAAAATTACTTTAGAATCTTTTAAAGATAAACTTAACTTAATTTTCCTTTTAGGTAAAATTTCAAAAAAAAAATTCATTTCAAAAATATGTCTCAGGATCTTTAAGTAACTTACAAAAAAAAAAATCATATTTATAAATAATTTCAAAAAATGCATATTCAAAATATTATTTATTTAACATATACATATGGAAAAATTTTAAGTTTTTGAAAATTCATATCTGAATTTTTTAATTTATCGAATTTATAGTTTTGAAAAGTTTAAGCTTTTTTGGATATGTATTTTTAGAAAAGTTTAAAAAAAAATTTAAATATGCATTTTTCAAAAGATTATAAATGTAAATGTTTATAAGATCTAATTGACTGTATTGAGTATTTTTTTTATAGTATGTTTGAAATTGGATTGTATGTAACTTTTAATTGTAAATAGATTTTCCGAAAAAAAGAAATAGTGAGGACAAATTAGTCATTTCATCTAAATAAACAAAAACCCCTCCCTTCTCTTGTCCTTCTCCATCTCCACGCTATTAAGTTAAACATTCTTAAAACCCTATTTCCTAATTCTCCCTCACCACAAATAAAGCTTCAAATTTTCACCCATTTAAAAAAAAATTATTTTAATTAGTTAATTTTAAAATTTTTCTGATTCCAAAACAATGCCCCCAAAGCAACAAGCGAAATCGAAAGCCGATTTGGCGAAGAAGCAAAAAGTCGTTGAGGACAAAACCTTCGGTCTGAAGAACAAAAACAAAAGCAAAAATGTTCAGAAATATGTTCAAAATCTCCAGCAATCGGTTCAACCCAAACCCGACCCTTCTAAAGTCGCCGTTAAGGTACCTTTTTTTTTAATTTTATTATTTTTTTTGTACAATTTGAATCCTCTTTTTTATGTGGAAAATTTTTAACTTCTATGAATTATAGAATTGACATTTTGTCTTTTTTTTTTTTTGTGAAATAATTGTACGTTGAATAACTTTGTTTTATGTTATTTATTTGCTTATTTGAATATTGAATATTAAATAGTAACTGGGTTACTCTTTTTTTTTTTTTTTTATGGATGATATGAACAGAAAAAGAAAGAGGAAGAGAAAGCAAGAGAGAAGGAGTTGAATGATTTGTTCAAAATTGCTGTTACGCAACCAAAAGTACCGGCAGGTTATGTTTAAATAACCGTTTTTTGAGCCGAATTATTTTTTTTTTTATATTTAAAATTTGGGGTGGCTTTGTTGATAATGGAAGTTGGGGTTTTGGATAGGTGTGGATCCTAAGTCCATAGTGTGTGAATTTTTTAAAGTGGGACAATGTACGAAAGGTTTTAAGTGCAAGTTCTCTCATGATTTAAATGTTCAGCGAAAGGGCGAGAAGATTGATATTTACAGTGACAAGCGTGATCAAGGTAATTGATAGACATAATATTGTTATTATGCAATATTTTGACACTTTTTTTTAAGTTTCTTTTTCGTAACAATGGGATTTTGATTTTTGGGGGTGCTTTTCCTTAAGAAACAATGGAGGACTGGGACCAGGAGACACTGGAGAAAGTTGTGGAATCGAAGAAAACGGAGTATAACCAGAATAAGCCCACTGAGATTGTACGTAATCTTTTTCCTGCTCTATCTGTTTTTGTCATAAGGTGTTGAAGATATTTTGGCTAACCATATGTTGGCATTTAAAGTTTCTGCTCTGCTCTCTCTTTTTCTATGCGATGAAGGATAGCAATGAAAGAATGATTTTGGAGGCTTAAATTTAGTGTAATGAAGGGAAAACACACTTAGAAGGTAGAAAATTATGTTGGCAATTAGGTTTCGTCAAGTGGGCTCAGATTTTTATAGTAACAATAATCGCTAGGTGTTAATTTTATTGTTGGCTGATAATGTTTGGCTTTTTTGAATTGGAAGAATGAAAACTAGTTAATGAACTACTATGTAGATCTCCAAGATCATTCTTTGGAACTTAATAGTCTTAGGTGATTTTCGGCTATTATTCTTCACAACTCACAAGCCATTCTTAACAGATCCCATTTTGTCTATTCTTCTTCTTCAATAAGATTTATCATTTGCAATCTGATTTCTTTGTGCAGTTATACATTTGGCAATGCATCATTATTTTTTTGATTGTTTATAATACTTATGGACAGGTTTGCAAATACTTTCTGGATGCTGTGGAAAAGAAACAGTATGGTTGGTTCTGGGTATGCCCGAATGGTGGCAAGGATTGTCACTACAGACATGCTCTTCCTCCAGGTTATGTTTTGAAGTCTCAAATGAAGGCACTTTTGGAGGAAGAGAGTGAGAAAATTCCTATTGAGGAAGAGATTGACAACCAGGTAAAAATATCATACTTAATTTTGCTAAGTTGTGATTTGCTTCTATTTGTTATACCATATCACAACTGACAAGGACCATATTGGGTTTCCTTTTTTTTTTCTCCCTCAATGAAAGGACCATTTTGGCTCATATGTATATACTATTTCTTGTTTCCTGTGCTGATACTCCTTTTTCTAATTTTTTGTCTGTTTATTTTAGCGTTCAAAAATAACAGCATCAACTCCAATGACTACCGAGCTTTTTATGCAATGGAAGATGAAGAAGAGGGAAGAAAGAGAAGCTAGTTTGGCTGCACAACGAGCAGAGAGGGCTAAGAATGATCGCATGAGGTATTATCTTCCTGCAAGTTGCTCTGTATTAAAAATATTCCATTTGAACGTTTTTATTCATTTGTTTGTCAACTTCAGTGGTCGTGAGTTGTTTCACTTGGATGCGAGTTTATTTGTGGATGATGCTGAGGCATATGAGGAATACCAGAGAGAAGAAGAACGTGAGCTTACTGAGCAAAAGGTAATTCTTGTAGTAGTACTTTCAGTATCATTTATAACTCTCTAGCAGTCGGAAACTTATTCTTCTGGTCAATCTACATCATTCTTGTGACCACCCCTCCCCCTCCACCCTCTCCCACCCCCACCCGCACTCTCAGCCCCACCCAATACACACACACACACACACAAAAGGCCGGTTTTTTCTGCACTGGTTAAATTTTCTGCTTCCAACTTACTGCAATCCAGAGCCTTTAGTTTCTGTATTTTATTTTGATTTCAGTTCTATATTATCTGCTTCCTCAGTTCTAAAGTCTTTTGTGGTTGGCATGCATGGACCATGTCAATGCTTCCTCTAATCTCAATCAATAGTTTTTTATTTGTTTTTACTCCTTTTCCCTGCTCTTTCTCTTGGAAAAGCAATAAGGAGAGGCTGCTGCAGCAGCATCATGAGTGATAAACAGTGGAGTTCTTTTTAGATTCTAATTTCAACTATCAAAATCAATATATTACTTTCTTTTTTTTTTCCAAACTTTTTGGTTCTCCACTCATGCTTTTCTTTATCTCTAGCTTTTTCAATCACCTACCTTCCTCTCTTCTTTCAGCATGCCTGCCTGCTTTGGAACACAACAGAAGAACATGCATCTAGTTGTTTTTGTGCGGACATGCATAGTTACTAATTTATATGGAATGTTAAGTGTAGAGTGGAGTACTAGACTTATCATGTTTCACAGTGTAGGGCCTCATATTGGAATATCGGATACCCTTTAGTATTTAATTTCATACTTTCTACTCTAACCATACATTGCAAGTGCAACTTTTAATTGAATAAATTGGAACTACTTCACATCCTATGAAGTATAAACAGAAAAAATTGAAAACAAACTGAATTCATCTGCAATGAAGGCAGTAGTGTGGATTTTCCCATGTATTTATTATTGGTGCCTTGATGGCATAGTTTGGAAAAGAATCTGTTATATATCTTGAATCTCATACATAA